GGCGGCTGGCTGTGTCTCTCTGACTCAGCCTTCCACTTCCCAGAATTCTCTTCTCTCCTTGTCCCGCCTATACTTCCTGCCTGGCTACTGGCCAATCAGTATTTTATTTATTAACCAATCAGAGCAACACATTTAACATACAGAACATCCCACAGCAGTATTTACAGAAAAAGTCAAGGAGCAGAGCTTAATGGCCACACATAAGAAATACAGTCTTGGGGCTGGAGAGATGGCTCAGCAGTTAAGAGCACTGACTGCTCTTTCGGAGGACCTGGGTTCAATCCCCAGCACTCACATGGCAGCTCACTGCTTTCTATGACTCCAGTCCCAGGAGACCTGACACACCCTCACACAGACATACACGCAGGCAAAACACCAATGCACATAAAATAAGTAAAAATTTTAAAAAATAGTCTTTGAAAAGGTAGTTTGGCCGGGCGGTGGTGACACACGCCTTTAATCCCAGCACTCGGGAGGCAGAGGCAGGCGGGTCTCTGTGAGTTCGAGGCCAGCCTGGGCTACCAAGTGAGTCGCAGGAAAGGCGCAAAGCTACACAGAGAAACCCTGTCTCGAAAAACCAAAAAAAAAAAAAAAAAAGGAAAGGTAGTTTGGAGGAAGTAGCATGGACTACCACAGCTGTTGGCAGTATTAAGAATGGTTATTATTTAAGTAACCAAACAGCCTTTCAAAGTCTTCAGTAACAACAAACACCAGGGAAGACTGAGTGAGTATCTGGTTTCCATTATAATCAAATATCCCATTTTCAACATTAATACATACAAAAATAAGAAATTATTTATTCAAAAGAGCAAAATAAATAGAAAATAGCTATACTACACAGGAGGGAGTCAAGACCCTGGACTCATAAAACAAACAACTTTGTTAAATGTGTACAGCAGATTAAAGAAAAACATTGACAAGGTACTAAATAAAATAGTGTTTCAACGAAATGGAAACTAAAATATGGAAATTATAGAAAGAAAATGGAAATCTCAGAGCTGAAAAATAGCCTGAAATGAAAGACTTAGTAGAAATGTTGAACAGTGTTTGACCTAGCAGAAGAAGAGATCAAGAGAGCTGAAGAACACATTATCCAGTGTGTGGAACAGAAGGAAGGAGAATGTGAGTAGACCTGTGGGGCTCCATCAAGCAGACACACAATGGAAAATGGGAGTCCCGGGAGCAGAAGAATTAGAAGGAAGGGCTGAGCACTCCACATATTTGATGAAAGGCATAAGTATACAAATTCAAGAGGCCGAGCAGCCTCCAATAGAATAAGCGCCAAACCTGTGCCAAGACCCGTTATTCTGAAACGGAGAAGTCACACACACACACACACACACACACACACACACACACACACACTTCAGAAAGCTGTATTACTGGTCTTCAGTAAGAAATTTATAAACTAGTTTCTCAACAAAAGCCACAGAGCCCACAGATCAATGGCATGATATTGAGAATCTGTCAAAAAGAAGGGAGAAATCCAGATGTTCCTAGAGAAAGGAAAACTGAGGAAACTTGTTACCAGTGGATATGCCCCACAAAAAAACTAAAGGAAGTCATCCAGGAAGTGTCAAGGTGTGCCAGGGAATAATTATCTGAACCCATATGGAGAAAAAAAAAGGCGTGTCTCCAGTATATGTGATTACAAACGCAAATATAAAAATCATTGCTACTGCAATTTTAGTTTGTAAATTCTTTTTAAGATATGTGAATGAAAAGCCAAGATTATTAATCTATGTTAAGGAGTTGATTACCACTAAATGTGACCTTTGAAGAGTGCTCACAGGAGACCTGCAGGGTGAAATAAAAGGGTATTAGAAAATAACTTAAATGTGAGTGAGCAAATGTTTATCTTTGATAAGAGTAAATGAGAGGGTAAATAGAGAAATCAGAATGATTGCAGTTTGGATTGTAACTTCACGTTTGCAAGAATAAAGAAATGCATAACATTTAATGTGTATTGTGCATAACGATTTGAGGCATCGGTGAGGACCTAATTAACATACCCAATCAAAATTTACCAACCCATCCTAGCTCATTTGAACACAGATCTCCCCTTTTATCCCTCTTAAAATTAACACTTGCGCCGGGCAGTGGTGGCGCACGCCTTTAATCCCAACACTCGGGAGGCAGAGCCAGGCGGATCTCTGTGAGTTCGAGGCCAGTCTGGTCTCCAAAGCGAGTTCCAGGAAAGGCGCAAAGCTACACAGAGAAACCCTGTCTCGAAAAACCAAAAAAAAAAAAAAAAAAAAAAATTAACACTTGCAAAGCTATATGCTGTTGTTTCTGCCCAATGAAGATTCAGTCACCTTGTCTCTTAGCCTTGCTTAATAAAAGATCTCTTTGTGTTTGGAAATTGTTGTTTGGGTGTGGTCTGTGCCCATTCCAGGGTCCAGAGGGGAGTGCTCCTCGGTGCTCTGTGCTCCAGTCTCTTCAGTAGGGACTAGAGGATGCTTATACACTTTTTAATTGTTTGGGTTTGTGCTGAGAGCCAAAGCTTCCACAGGGCAAGTGAGGGAAATTCTACCCTCAGTGTCTAAGCTAGTCTCACAGAAGCTTGCTTTGCTGACTAAGGGCACAGGACACAAGGCAGGACCAGGCTTGGAGAGCCAGGCTGGTACAGGAGCCCATGGTTCTGAAGCCAGGAAGCTGCCAGCAGGGTGCTCCAAACATGGGTCTGACCTTCTTAGAGCCTTTTAGTCAACCAATCAGGATTCAAACCTAGTAGGCCTTCCTGTACAGGGGAAACCAACCGTTATCACTTTAGGGATGTTGGAAGAAACCTTACAGCTGTGTCCCCACACTCTGGAGCCCATGGATCATGTGGAGGTCTTGTTACAAGGCAGATTCCTCTGATTTGTGTTTGGGCCCTGTCTCTGTAATGGTTTCTATTGCTGTGAAGAAACACCTTGACAACAACTCTTACAAGGAAAACATTTAATTGGGAACTTGCTTACAGTTTCAAAAGTTTAGTCCATTATCATCATGGTGGAGAGCATGGCGGCATGAAGGCCGACATGGTGCTGGAGAAGGAGCTGACAGTTTTACATCTTGATCCACAGACAAAAGACTGTGACACACTGGCCAGGCTTGAGCTTCTGAGATCTCAAAGCCCACCCCCATGGTGATGCACTTCCTCTAACAAGGCCACACCTCCTAAAAGTGCCACTCCCTTTAGGAACTGTTTTCTTTCTTTTTCTTTTTGGTGGTGGTGGTGGGAGGGGGGGTTTCAAGACAGGGTTACCCTGTGTAGTTTTGGTGCCTGTCCTGGATCTCACTCTGTAGACCAAACTGGCCTCGAACTCACAGAGATCTGCCTGGCTCTGCCTCCCAGTGCTGGGATTAAAGGCGTGTGACACCACCACCCAGCAGGGACTGTTTTCTTTCAAACCACCACAGGCCCTGCTTGCTCTGGGATCACACTTGATCTCTGTGAGTTCAAGGCCAGCCTGGTCTACAGAGTGAATTCCAGGACAGGCTCCAAAGCTACAGAGAAACCCTGCCTTGAAAAACCAAAAAAATCAACTTGAGGAGAAAAGGATTAATTACATTAATTATATTTTACAATTTATGATCCAATGGTTCTCAACCTTCCTAATGCTGAGACTCTTTAATGCAGTTCCTCGTGTTGTGGTGACCCCCAACCTTAAAATTATTTTTATTCTACTTCATAACTGTAAATTTGCTACTGTTATGAATCATAATGTAAATATCTGATATGCAACCTCCCAAAGGGATCACACAGATTGAGAACCACTGTTACAGTCTTTCATGAAGGGAAGCTCGGACAGGAACTTACATAGAGACCATGATGGAACACTGCTTACTGGCTTGCTCAGCTGCTTTCTTACACAACCCAGGCCTCCCGCTCAGGGGTGCCATGTACACAATGGGCTGGGCCCTGCCACATCAATCATTAATCAAGAAAATGCCCCACAGACTTACCTACGGGCCAATCTGATGGAGGTAATTTCTCAGTTGAGGCTCCCTCTTCCTAAATCAAGTCTAACTTGTGTCAAGTTGACAAAACCCTAACCAGCACAGGGTTGGTGGAAGCTAGGGGTCTTGTTTGTACATTCCAAAAGGATTTACCTAATAGTCACAAGGATGTCAGGTCACACACAGGGGTGGGCAGTAAATGGCTATCCAGGGACTAAAATAACCTGAGACAATCTTGGCTCCTAATCCTGGCTTTCCACAAACAGTTAATATGTCAGTCAACCTTGGGGAATGTTTAACATTGATGCTGTGTCGTCGGCCCGTCCCCATCACTCCCCACCCCCCACCCCCACCCCCCGAACCGCCCCACCACCCCTTCCTGGGAAATTCACTTCACATCCCCAAGTCCAACTTTCAGGTACTAGCCTGAGAGATAGCTTGACAACCTGAGTTCAATCACCTGGATCCCCACAAAGTTGTCCACTGGCCTCCACGTGCAGGAGGTGGCTCACGCTTATCCCACCTCCTGTAATTAAATGTAAAATACCTTTGCTCAGGCTGGACGGCTACAATATTGGATCACCGAAGGAGATACACCCAGGCTCCTTCAACTCCAGATGGGAGCTGATGGGGATGATGGAGGCTGCCACTCGGAATTTCTAAGCCCTCCCTGACCAGATGATGCCCCACCCTGCTTGGTCCTTGCCTTGGAAGCCACTTAATTTGACATCGGTGTTCCCAGCAGGAAACTACAAGGTCTAAGGGACTGGCTCTCGGCGTCTGTGCCACATTTCCAGACATAGGGCCGGAGCAGATCTTTCCAGCTGTGGCTTGCATGTCCCGAATTCTAACCCCTGCCGGTTGTGGGAGGGGGCTGGGGGAAGAGTGGTTGCGCCCTGGTGCAGCCGCGAGGGCAGCTCTGTCCCAGGTATGGGTGTGGCTCGCCACAGGCGTCCAGGGTCGGAGGGGAGGGGGCGGGGGCAAGACTCCAGGCGGCTTGGGCGGAGCCGGAGGCGGGCAGCAGGGGGGAATTCTACCTGGCTAAGCAGATTCAAGGCGGAGAGAGGATATAGGGCGGAACCAACCTCCTGGCTCCGCACGTGCTGCTCCGGCTCAGCGTGGCGTTCTTAGCATCCAGTCTTTGGCGTCTGCAGGTCAGTGAGGGAGATGATCCGACGTGTCTCCTGCCGCGCCTCTCCTCGGGCACGGGACCCCCTTTCGGGGCTCAGGACGACCAGTGAAGCCTGCTGAGTGGGTTGGGGGTCCGGGCAGCTGCAGGGCGCCACTGCTACGCTGACCCTGGTGGCGAGAGGTGGGCGCCCGCGCACCCCGGGGTGACAAGGTGGGGCCCGCTCCCTCCTGTTCAACCTCCCAGCAATAGGAGTGGGCACGCGGTTCCCAGAAAACTGGTTTGTCTAGTAATCTGGGATGCGATCTCCGAGAAGATGGGTTGGGAGGGCCCCCACACCCTTTTCACAGGGAGCAGGTTGAGGCTGGCTGCCCCAGGTTCCCGCGGTAGTTTCCCAACCCCAGCAGGAGAAGGCCGGACAGGTGAGTCGGACCTCCCTCTAAGACCCTCTGTAGCTCACTCTTGAAGCTTTCTTGCTTTCAGTGATCACTATGTAAATTCCAAACTTTAAAAAAAAATGACGTGATTAGGGTTAATTAACATGGACAGAGCCTTTTGCCAGGTGCCTTCCTAGATTGTCTGCTTATATTAAAACCACTCAATATGGTGATTCTGATGTCCGATTTTGGAGAATAAGGATGCAGGAAACCACGTAGGGTCAGAGAGAGCCTGATAGTGCTCAACCCGGTCCTGATCCCCAGGAAGTCTCTGAAATGCTTCTCTGGGCAAGCCGGAAGGTGCCCTTGAACTCTTGAGACTTTTGTGTATGCCCTGATCTTATCTTTCTTTAAAAAAACATTTATCTCCCTGCTCTTCCTCATGTGTGTGGGTCGCCCGCCAAGGTGCATGTGTAGAGATCAGAGGACAATTTGTGGGAGTTATTTCTCTCCTTCCATCATGTGGGTTCTGGGAGTTGAATCCGTGGTGGCATGAAGGTTTGGGACTCAGAAGATCGCTCACCTCCTTTGGTCATTGATGTCCACTTTACATTAGACACTTGATCCTGCAAAATGGAAAAGGACTCCAGCTTCAGGGAAGACGATAGGGTTAAATATGAATTCTGGAAAGCAGGTGGTTCATAAGGCCCAGGAGTTAGGAAGTGCCTGGCTTTTCCATGGTCCCTTACTGTTAAAATGGTGCCCTTACAGCTTAAAGTCCAGACTGCCTTGACTGTTTCTTATTGGTTGTGGAAGTTCTGTGATTGTGTGTGTAAACCCAGTGGTAGTGAAGATGGGTGTGGCTGGCAGTACCAACGAGCATGGGGAGAGAACACTGGAGTCAGGATGCTGCCACCCAGGCAATGCTGGCCTTTCCTAGACAGGTTTCTGGACACGAGGCTAATCCTACTTTAGGATTAGCAATGAGAACACAGAGAAGGAACTTTCCTGTAGAGACAGCAAAGAAAGATAAGGGTGTGAGCAGGTTTGAGCAGCAGGGGGCTGTGCCCTTCAGGGAGGGATACCATAGGGTTCGGGGGTCTGTCTGGTGTTCTGGCTCCTCAGTGCCGTGTGTGTGTGTGTGTGTGTGTGTGTGTGTGTGTGTGTGTGTGTGTGTGTGTGTGTGTGTGTGTGTGTAGACCTTACCCCAAGTCTGAGAGCTCCTCAAACTCTTTTCTGTTTAACTGTGGCTACAGGCAGCTAACAATAGACTTATCACATGAAGCACTTTTTAAGTTAGCAATTCGGGACTGCGGAGATGGCTCAGAGGTTTAGAGCACTGGCTGCTCTTCCGGAGGTCCTGAGTTCAATTCCCAGCACCCACATGGTGGCTCATAAACAACTGTCTATAATGGGATCTGATGCCCTCTTCTGGTGTGCAGGTATGCTTGCAGGCAAAGCACCCATATTCATGAAATACACAAATAAAAGACCTTAAAAGTTACAGTTAGAAATTCAGGGTGGCCGGGTGGTGGTGGTGCACGCCTTTAATCCCAGCACTCGGGAGGCAGAGCCAGGCGGATCTCTGTGAGTTCGAGGCCAGCCTGGACTACCAAGTGAGTTCCAGGAAAGGCGCAAAGCTACACAGAGAAACCCTGTCTCGAAAAACCAAAAAAAAAAAAAAAAAAAAAAAAAAAAAGAAATTCAGGGTGGTCTTGTGCTAGCTGGAACACTCAAGAAAACTGATGTCTCATCCTTGTGAAAAAGGCTATTTCTAAAGACTCTAATATTCCAGAAACAGAACTGTTTCTCCCCAGTACAGCTGTGATGGAATCCGCTTCCCAGAGGTAAAGCTGAGTCGTTTTTGTCTGAGAACAGAGTCAGTTAGAGTACGGACACAGTCCTGGTGGCTTCTGCTTGCTGTGTGCTTCTTCTATGCAGAGCTGCTGGAAGTGCCCTCTGGGGATGCAAACACTGTCTCCTGACACTTGAAGCCAATGCAACTAGCAGACTACCCTCCTCTCACCTGAGCCAGTTCTCAAGGAAGTCTTTGCTTAGAGCAGTGCATGTGAGACCTTTGCACCCACGCAAATACAAACAAAACCAGCCAGTGCTGAGCCTATCTCCATCACCCAGGTCACTGGTGCCATCCCCTCTCAGCGGTGTTCCTGAGGGTCCCTCCATGTGCTGCGTGGAAGAAGTCATCCTGTTGCTTGAGGGGGAGAGTGCATTGTCCTTTCTTTCTCATCCTTTGCAGTTAAAGTCTATTAGGTGCCTGGATCAGCCTGCTATTTGATTTTAACAGAGAGGGACTAAGGATCTTTGTTTGCTCTTTGCAAATTTACTTTCTGGCCCAGCAAGCTGTTCTCAGAGTGTGACCTGGAGAACCGTAGAGGTCCCTGAGACCTTTGTGGAGTCCACAAGGTCAAACCCCCTGAGGAAGAATGCTGCTATTTGCATATCTCCCCAGTGCATTAGGGGTTTCTCAGAAGATCTATGACTGAGTTTGGCCTCTGGCAGCTGATGAGGGGTATGCTTGAGTATTCTGTTTCTAGAGTCTTGTAAGGTTCTAGACTTTGGGGGTAACTATGTGTTTTCAGGGATGAAAGTGGTTTGCTCTACTGTACTTTTCCAAGCCCGTTCTTGTCTCTGTGGCTTTGGATTCAGGTTTTCCTGCTTCTACAGGGAATGGCATCAAAAGGCAAGCGTACTTCATCGTGACTGGAGAGATGTACTACTGTTTAAATGTCCAATTATCTTTCAATTTAATAATACTGCAATATAAGGAGGTCCGTTTATGTGTTTTAATGCTAAAGAGTGAATTAATCGTTGTCTTGCCAGGGGATAACAGAAAACTTGACCTTCCAGCCAGCAGCTGGCATTGAGCATGTATGCTGCTGAGCCAGTTCCCTGACTTATGGAGGGGAGTTTGTCCAGAGAAATGAGCAAAACTGAGTAAGAGGGGCTGAAAGTGTCCCTTGGCTTCCTGTGTCCCTGCGGATCTTCTGTCGGCCCGCTGTTCTAAATAATACAGTGGTGCCAGGAGCATCATTTCAAGACAAACCATTTAGAGCCCTCTGAGAAGTGTGAACCTGAATGGCTGAACTAGAGAGTTCAGACTCATTAAAAATCCCACATTGTTTTAGATTTTCAGACTAGAATAAGTTTTTGAAACATCAAGCTGGACAGGTCACCAGACTGAGCATCAAACCACACAGATAATCAAATTGCACTGTCCAGAGACATAGTGACGTCCTGTTGAGGGGAAAGGACACCGAAGGGGGGGTCACAGCACTTCTCTCCAGTGGTGGATTGACTGGAGACACTTAGCTGCATATGAAAAGACTGAGTGAGTATCGTGAATTTTTTTTTTCCTCGAAGTGGACCAATTTGCAGCAGTGGCTGGATTCACCATGTTACTTGTGTGCTTAAGAATCCATGTCAGACCAGTCACAGGAGAGACTTTTAGTAGGTGGTTGGAAACAAAATAGCCCAAGTTACATTATACTCTGGAATGGGGGTGAACTTGTGTTGATAGTTGTGTTGATAGTTCAGAGGAACCGGTGACTGCTGGTGCTTTTGTATCAACCAAGGCCATTCTGCACACTGCCAGGACTCACTGTATTCCTGGTGGCTGTATGCTGGCAATGGTAAAGACAGAACTGGGGAGTTGGAGAGATGACTCCACAGTTAAGAGCACTGACTGCTCTTGCAGAGGACCTGAGTTTTGCTTCCAGCACCCACATGGCAGCTCACAACTGTCTATAACTCCAATTCCAGGGGATCTGATGTCCTTTTTGAGTCCTGCAGGTTCTTGCACACACATGGTGCACATACATATGCTTAGGCACACATACATACCCATAAAGTAAAACTTTAAAAGAAAGAATCGAAGGACTGCACCTGCCTAGCTTTCAAACAGAAGTAAAGTAATTACTGGTTCTAATCACTTTCACAGCTTCCTTAAGAACTTGGATGTTCTGAAACCTTGGCTTCTGAATGCAGGTCTTTATAGGCTGGTGACTGGAAGCACCCAAGAAGCTCCCCTTGTATTATCAAGTGTTATGTTGTCTTCGGTAAAGCATTTGTGGGACTGAAGCGTGAGCTGAACCATCAGCTCTTGTTGATAGAACATTAGTGCTGCTGGAAAGGACTGACGACATGGTTATTCATACTGGGGAATTTGGCAGGTGGATTCTAAAACTAAACAGAGTTGTCTGTTACTGCAAAGGAACAAGGACAGGGGCTCATCCCCAACACCTAGGAGTTTCATGGCATTTGCCAATGTGGCTTTGACATTGCAGAGTGAAGTACGATAACATTTACTTGGAAGAAGTTCATGACTCCCCAGACCAACATTTCCCAAAAGTCCACGGTGCATGGAGCTAAAAACAGGCTAAGAGAGCTGGGCGTAGTGGTGCAGGCCTTTAGACTCCAATACTTGGGAGGCAGAAGCAGGCAGATTAATTTGAGTTCAAGGCCAGCCTGGTCTACACAGTGAGTTCCAGGGCAGCCAGAGATACATAGTGAGACCCTGTCTCTAAAATACCACCCCCAAGATGTGCTGGACAGATCAACAGACATAAACGCGTCAGGGTGCGCAGTGATGACATGTCGGATCCTCCATACAACCAGCCTTTGAGGAGGATTAAAGGAGCTGAGAGATGGCGCAGTTTTACTATAAAGTGCTTGTCATGCTTACGTGAGGACCAGTCGAGTTCAGATCTCCAGAAACCACCAGGTGTGATGCTGATCATCTGTGTGCAAAGTTCCATGCTGGGGAGGAAGCTGGGCAGGGGGGAACAGGAAGGCCCCTGAATTTCATTATCCAGACAGAATTGATGAGCTTCAGGTTTAGTGAGAGATTACTTCTCAGAAACTACAGGTGGAGAGAGGGATGGAGGACAGACACCCAACCTCAGCATCCGGCCTCCACACGCATGGGCATGCACATCTGTGGGCATCCTGGTACTAACGAGTCCGGCCGGAGACCATACAAAGTTAAAGGCTAGTTAACCTTTGAGCTTTAGGGAAGTATCGAAGATGTATCTGGAAACATCCACTTCTCCCACCACTTTGCTGTGGGAGTTTGCATTGTCTTCAGCTACTTCAGTGAAATCTCCAGACGGATGGAGCATGGAGGCAAGTATGAGAAACAGCTAATGTTTGACAATTGACTCTTCTCGCTACATGATTTCTGGTTTTGCTTTGGAAAACATAGTTTCTTTCATAAGTGTGTGGATGTTAACATCATTACATGAATTAATAAAAATAAACATCTCATTTAAGAATTTTAACAATATTTAATACAGTAAATATTGATAGATGATATTATTCACATATACTTTTCAGTCCACAGGTTGTTTTTGTTTGTTTGTTTTGTGTGTGTGTTTCAAGACAAGGTTTCTCTGTGTAGCCCTGGCTGTCCTGAAACTTGCTTTATAGACCAGGCTGGTCTTGTACAAATAGATCTGCTTGCCTCTGCCTCTAGAGTGCTGGGATTAAAGGCTTTTGCCACCACACCTGGCCGTCAGTCCACAATTTTTAAGAGTGTACAGGAGGCTGGGTGTGGTTGTACACACCTTTAATCCCAGCACTTAGGAAGCTGGCAGATCTCTGTGAGTTCCAGTCCAGCCTCAGCTACACAGTGAGACCCAAGGTAAAGGAATCTTGAAATTGGAAATTTTGGGGGCTGCTGCCTTGAGTCTAGTCATGCTCACGCAATAGCAGAGACTCGTGAGAAACGCATCAGTGTATAATTTTATCACTCCCCTAATTGGTTAGAACATCCCTTTATGATATTAAGGAGTTACCATCGTCTGTGTGGCCTACTGTGGAACCCGATGGCTTTATGTAGCACATGGCTCTATGCTACATAAATTAGGCAGTGATGTGACAGTGGTCTTTACTTGGAAAAGAGCACTGTGGGCAGAAGTTTCTGTTGCTCTGACCTGATATCCCCACGACATCCCATCATGAACCCGCCAGCTGGAGGACAGGGCAGCAGGCACAAACTTAGCACAGCAAGACAGTCCTGCCAGCCTGAGGCAAGAAGGGAGGACCAATGCTGGCTGGCCTTCAGCTGAGAGCCCACCGGGTGCCTCCTGACGTTTTCTTGTGGGGAATGATGGGACCATTTGGGGTCTCAGAATTTGCTTTTTCTTGACCCTTTCAGCTGTGGCAATTTATCCTTCTGCTTCTGAGGACTGGGATTTGTCCTTGAGTTTCAATGCCCTGGGGAATCCAATGGTCTCGGCTTTCTCTGTCTCCTTTTAAACTTGCGGGATAAGGGAATCTCAAGATCAGAGTTCTTACCTGGTCTTGGCTGCAGGGAAGATTCTCTCTCTCTCTCTCTCTCTCTCTCTCTCTCTCTCTCTCTCTTTGTTTTGTTTTATTTTGTTTTTCCGAGACAGGGTTTCTCTGTGCAGTTTTGGGGCCTGTCCTGGATCTCGCTCTGTAGACGGGCTGGCCTTAAACTCACAGAGATCCTCCTGGCTCTGCCTCCCAAATGAGTGCTGGGATTAAAGGCGTGTGCCACCACCGCCCAGCAGGAGAGTTTTCCTCAACAGCATTCCTCTGAGGGCGGTTAAGGAATTCTCAGGAGTTCCCTGTAATATGGCCTCTTTTTAGTTGCTAACCTGGAGCAATGAAGCCAGTGATATGCCCATGACAGGAAAGCTGTCTTGCGGGCTCATTTATGAGTAAGCTGGGTTGAAGGGCCTCAGCTGCACTACAGAGCATCCCCTCCACCCCACCGGCATTCATAGGAGTTTCAATCACCTTAACTTTTCATGATAACCCCACCCCACCCCCATGATTCATAAGGGTATAAAATGTTTTCTCAAGCTGGTATCCTTTTACTGCACACACTCATGAAACATTATTTGGGGTATTTCAACCTGTGTTCTTGGGTCAAAGGCACTCACATTTGGAGGGGAACAATTTCATCCATTACAGAACAAAATGTCCTAAATCAAGGCACGTTTTCAACCCACTGGTGGGAACACCAGCCAGGTGGGTTACAGCAAACAGAGACGTCTTTGCTATGTTTCAGATGCTATCTGATGACATTCTTAGCTTTAGGGTTGGTGGGAGTTAGTGGTCTGCTAAGTTAGTACATCCTAGAAGGATTTACCTGATAGGTCATGTTAGGTTAGACACCGTGAAAGCCAACAGGTGGCTATTTGCAGAGACTAATGATTTAAAATAAACTTAATTGGTCTTTAGTTCTGAAACATCCCAGCTCTCCACAATTACAGATTCTAACTGTTCGATTGTCTGTGTAGTCTGTATAGGTGTGGCTCCTTTTTGGAGGGGGGAGATTTTCAGTTCACAGTGCAGACACAAGTGTGTGTCCGAACCTCTTAACTTCCTGTGACAAGGAAAGTGTCCACTGTCAGCTGGTAGTGGAGGTGAGGACAAGGAGAAGGAGGGGAGTAAATGCACATTTGGGGTCATGGAAGCGCTGGGAAAACGGTTTTTCTAAATGAGCCTTTCAAAGGACGTGGGATTCAAACAGCTGCTGTTCACAGCTTACTAGATATTGCCAGGCTTTTTTTTTTTTTTTTTCTTTTAGCCATCTGCTTTTCTAGTCTGGGTCATTCCAAAGATAACATCTAAAGTGTTAGCACAGATGGCCAGTGCTTGGCTATTTAGTCTGGGACCTGCTTGTCCCCTCAGATGGTGTAGGCACAGGTTAATAGCAGCTGTAGTCAAGATTGCAAGCCCTCACCAGAACTGGTGGCTGGTTTGTTTTGGTTTTGGGTTTTTTGTTTGTTGTTTGTTTTTTGTGGTGATATTTGTAATCTACAAAATAAAGCTTGCCTGAAGCTCAGACAACAGAGCCAGTCACAGAGTTAAACATAGAGGTCAGGCAGTGGCGGCACACACCTTTAATCCTAGCACTCGGGAGGCAGAGACCCATCGGAGTGAGTTCAAGGCCACACTGGGCTATATGAGATTGATTCGGTCTAGGAGAGAAACAGCCAGGCAGTGGCGGCACACGCCTTTAACCCCAGTTAAAGCACACACGCCGTTAATCCCAGCACTAGGAAGGTTGAGATTGGAAGTGAAATGGCTGGGTGGAGAAAGCCATATAGGGCGTGAGGAGACAGGAGCTCTCAGAGAGCCTTTTGGGCTGAGGACTCAGGAACATTCAGTCTGAGGATTTGTGGAGACAGGATTGGCTGAGGAGTTGGCCAGGTAAGAAGTGGCTGTGGCTTGTTCCTTTGTCTCTCTGATCTTTCGGCATTTACCCCAATATCTGGCTCCAGGTTTTTATTAAGACCATTTAGGATTCATGCAACATTTTTGTTGTTGTTTGGTGTTTGTTGATTGTGCATTAACCCCCACTGTAGCTTGGCACCTGGTTTGATTTCATTGTTACCCCAGGTTACATTTATCCCTTTGTCCCTGGGCCTAACTTGATTGGTGTCCTGTGGGATAAGTCAGAGGTTCAGTTCGATGCGTTCCTGAATCACAAAAGAAGCCTTTGCTTCCGCACTGGCAACTGTGGTGTGATTTCAGGAGAGCAGCGTTTCCAGGGGCTGATGGATGTAAGGTTAGTAATGGATTCCATCCTTCCTTTCTCCCAGGGTATCAGAAGAGCAGATGCCGGTCCTTGGGATGCTAAAACAGGTGCTCAGAGTGACGGCACAGAGCAAAGCCTCCGCCTGCTCGAAGCTTGTCTTGCCCTTGCGGTTTCTAGGCAGCTCCTCTCGTCAAGTCCCAGCAGATGCCAACTTCCACTCCACCTCGTTCTCCGAAGCAGAGCCTCCCCGGGTCTTGATCACAGGTTGGTTTGTCTCCTCCTCATCTGTGGCATGATTCTTGCTTTCGCTGAGATGCTTCTTGTAGTGTGCTGTGCTTCAGAGCAGCTGTCGGGAGACCCCCGGAACTGGATTGCATGGTTGCACTGGGAAAAGGGGTCTCTGGGTAAGGCATGCCATCACAAATAACTTTTTCTTGGGGAGGCAACCCTTTTCTGATCAGATACAGCCCTTTTTGAAATGTTCTGGGTTAGGATTCAAAGGGATTGTCCTTTGGGGGTAAAGGATTTATTAGAGGGACCGTACACATTGTAGACAAGGAGACAAAGGCATGGCAGGGCTCTGAGGAAAGTTCAGGCACAAATGGCAGAGTGGGGGTCTCTTCCCACAGGTTTCAGAGGATGGAAGGGTCCTATGTCACATCATCAATGAGCAGCCTGAAGTACATGCCTGCAGTCCAGGTGTCTCTTAATTAGCTATGAGGGCAGGAATCCAGAAACACAAGTTATTTTAATTCTGAAAACCAAATTACTGTTGTTCTGAAACCATCTAAGGGTCTTGTCGGGGTTCGTTTTCTTTACCGTTCAAGAATGAAAAGGCAGGAAAATTTTCGAGCTTGACAGGTAGCAAGCAGCAGAGGAATCTTAAACATCAGGCAGCAGTTAGTGGACAGAATCAGCAGCTGCAGAAAGGCTTTTCTTAGGGGTGAGGAAACACATACAGCAGGCACACAGAGAAAAAGACCCTCTGCAAGGTCGGGGGTCGGTGTGCACAGAAGAGGGACTCGGGAAGACAAACATCTAGTCTTTCTGGAGGGCTGGGGATTTTAAAGGCTCTAAGGAGCTTTCCTTACCCTGATTTAGGATTGATCAGTTTGAAGAAAGACAGGCTAATTGACTCACAACTGCTGTGTGACATGTCCTGATCCAGCCTTAAATTTATTGAGCCATTCCATCTTCAGGGGCCCTACTGGAGGAAGAAAAGTCCAGAAGGCCTTTGTTTTAAGCTGCCAGGCTTTTGCCTGAGGTCAGGAGGGTAAGGAAGAAGCCAGCCATCTTGGAAATTCACCATCTTTGCTACCTGGTAATGGCCTCCCTCGCTATCTGACTGCCCGCCAGGGAGCCTGTCTAATGCCTAGTCTCTCAGTTTCAGAAGTTAGCAGTGCAGCTAAAATGGAGAAGCATTACAAGATGGTGTGGTTCTGGCTGACATCTTCCATCGTTGGCTTCCCCTGTTCATAACTATTTATTGCCTATGTTTCCTTTCCCTAATAAAATCTTGTTTTCTATCCTGGAACTTGATTTCCTTTCACATGTCAGGGCAACAAAACCGAATGGATAGGGAGGGTGCCAGTTCTAGAACACATCTTTCTCCTGGGCACATCTTTCCTTGGCTAGATTCCCCAGCCCAAGCCCAGAATCACCCATCACAAACTGTTACTGAGCTCTCATGCACTGGAAATAAGATGGGATAGAAGCGCTGCCCGAGCTTCTTGTTGCTGTTGAGCCCCTCACCACCAAACCCACTCATCATCCTCCTTCTCCGGAATATGCAGTGCCTGGCCCCACTCCCTTCACTATTATGCATTCTGTGTTGTCACTGACAGAGTGCTTCCAAGCAGCCCGAGACAACCTCTCCCTTGATTGACACATTTTACTTCTCCATCCTCTGTCATGTTTCACTCCTTTCCTGTCCTGCCCTCTGCGTTTCTTTCATTCCCTCTCTCTGCTAAGGTTTTAATCCTCTAGGGTTTTAGTCCTGTGTTAACTGACAGGGAGTCGCACTGCTCTGTCTCCTGCCACATGAGGGTCTTACCTGAAATTTATAGCAGTCCTCCTCTGAATGTATTCCTAGCCCCTTGGCTCCGGATTCCTATCCGTGGTGTCTTTAAACCTCCAAGTTAGGAAAGCTAGCATCATTTCTTTCTTAGTGGTTCCTCGTTGATTCTGTTTGTTTTGTTTTGAGGTAGGGTCTTTCTACTATGTAGCTCTGGCTGTGTCCCAGGCTGGCCTTGAACTCAAGAGATCCACCTACCAAGTGCTGGGGTGAAAGGTGTATATCACCACACCAGCTTGTCCCTCGCCCTTTTGTCAAATGGCTTCTTGCTCTCCCCTCCTTGGAGCTGCTGCCCCCCCCCCCCCCACAAGTGTTACTTTTCTTCTTGTGTCCTTGCTATCCTCTTCCTCTTGGGCACCCCTGGCTGGAAAGCGCTGCCTCCAAAACTTTCAGCTGCACTGCTACCTGTCCATGCTGGGCAGTGGCTGTCCTATGTTCTAAGAGTAACCTGCATGGACTGCATCAGCACCGCCCCTGGCTTCAGCCCACTACGACTGGAGGAGTTTCATCCCACCGTTACGCTCTGAGAATAGATTTGCACTCAGGTCTCACCTTGTTTTCTTCTTCACCTAGGGGGTCTTGGCCAGCTGGGAGTAGGACTTGCTAGCCTTTTGAGGTAAGAACTTCAAAACCAGGTTCTTAAGGGTGTACAGTGGTCACCATCAACATTAGCCATCGGTTCTCTTGCCTCTGGCCTAGTTCTGCTTCTAAGATGTCACATCTAAATAGCTGCTTAAAACACGGTTTGCCTCTTGGTCACAACGCCAGCTCTTTGCCCTCAGTCCTAACTTGGGTACAGTGGGACTCATCACCCCAAGCGAACCACTTACCTCAGTTGTTCGAGAGCAGAGGGCAGGGACCAGTTCTTACAGGAGCTGGAAGGGAATCATCTGGTGTTGAGGGCAGGAGGTGAAAGAATGAGGGAGAAGAGGAAGTGCCAAGGCTATGGAGATGGCATTGGTGGCCAGTGCAGTGGGGGAGGGGCAGAAGGAGAGAACCAGGCTGTGGGGAGAAAAGGAGGTCGGAGCTTAGGGAGGCAAAGCTGAGGGGTCTGTGACGATGGTGAAGAGAAGGGAGGTGACTGGAGAAGGCCCAGAAATTGCAGTGCTTATTGAAATAATCAGTTTCCTAAGACTTGTATCCGCGATGTTGCTAACTTGTTGGGGTGGGGCTTTCTTTCCCTATAGGAAACGATTTGGGAAGGACAACGTGATCTTATCAGACATAAGGAAGCCCCCAGCTCATGTCTTCCATAGTGGTAAGATATAGATAGTCCTTGAGGTTTTAGTTTTCAAAATGTAGCCACAGAGGCAGAGTGGAATCCATGTGTGAATCAAAGAGGGATTCGGGCCTGGGCCTGGCTTTAAAGTGTATTTTCAGTGCTATTCCATTCAAGTGACAAAGAATGGCAGGGCTCTGTGGAACTTGAAGTTTGGGAATAATATATTTGAATATTACTTTAAATAATGTCTTTGGACTAAACAGTTTGATTCTTATCTTTTGAGTTTTTGGTTATCTGATTAACTTAAAGAGCCCTCAAACATAAAATAAGTTTGATGAGGAAAAAGCTTGAAGAATATGGAGAAGGGAGATGGCTTAGTTCAGAGCTCTTTCAGTGGACCCAAGTTTGGTTCCCAGCACCCACATCAGGTGGCTCCCAACCACCTGTAATTCCAGCTCCAGAGGATCCAAGACTGTCTTCTGGGCTCCACAGGTACCTGCACTCACAAGCACCCTCTCTCATAATTTCAGTACCTTCTTCTGGCCCCTGTGGGTACCTGGATTCACACACACACACACACACACACACACACACACACACACACACACACGTAGATGAATTTCTAAATGGTCTTATTAAATAAAAAAACATGGAGCCAGATATAGGGGTGAAAGCCTGAGAGAGATCAGGGAAATAGGGAAAGCCACGGCTAACCTCACCTCACCAACTTGCCAGCTTCCAAATGCGAGTGACATCCTGTCTACCCACGCCTGTATGCCTTGCTGTTCTGCCATCTGATTTGCTCTCTCTGTCCAGCTACATCACTTCTTCCTGCCCAGCTTTGTCATTTCCTGTCTGTCTGTACAGACCTCTAGACCTCCATGGTTAACTAGTGTTGGAATTTAAGGCGTGTGCTACCACACCTGGTTCTGTTTCCAGTGTGGCCTTGAACTCACAGAGATCCAGACAGATCCCTGCATGCCACGTGATAGGATTAAAGGTGTATGCTAACATTGTGTGATTTTGTTTTTACTTATAATGGCTGTTTTTCCTCTGATCTCCAGGCAATCTTTATTTATTAAAGCACAAATGAAATAATACCACATTTCAGCACAAATAAAATATCACCACATTTTCCCTTTTTTGTCTAATAAAAAAATAAATAAAAGTTATAACTGATATAAGAAAACACAGAGAGAGAGAGAACAACAAAGAATTCTGAGAAAGCCAGACATAGAAGATGGAGCATGACTGTTAAGCCAGTGCTCAGAAGCCTGGGGCAGAATCACAAGGTTCCAGTCCAGCCTAGGCTACAGAGTCAGGTTCTGCTTCAAAAGGAAGGTTGGGGAGGGAGGACAAGATTTCTCTCCAGTCAGTGGCAGGGGACAGGGAGTCCATTTAGCTTCACCGCAGCCCTTCCCACTCTGTGCTTACAGGCCCGTTCGTTTATGCCAATATCTTGGACAACAAACACCTTCGTGAGGTCGTGGTGAACCACCGTATCAGCTGGCTGTTTCACTACAGTGCGGTGCTGAGTGCTGTCGGAGAAGCCAACGTGTCCTTGGCCAGAGATGTCAATATAACTGGTGAGCAGCTGGCTCTGGCCTAAAGGGGCCAGTTTTTTCCTGCTCTTGGGAGTCCGTTTGATTTTCAGATTTTCATAGTGTCTATTCATTTCAGGACTGCATAACATTCTAGATGTTGCAGCTGAACACAATGTGAGATTGTTTGTACCCAGCACGATTGGGGCTTTTGGACCTTCCTCTCCTCGGAACCCCGCACCTGACCTCTGTATTCAAAGGCCCAGGACCATCTATGGCGTATCCAAGGTCCATGCAGAGCTCATGGGAGAAGTAAGCATTTCTCAGCAAGATTGCTACATGTTCAGGGCTAGATGATTCTGTGTCCCGCCCCATTTTTTTTTTCTGCCTGAGACACCCCCTGCTTCATTTTCAGGGAAACATTTACATCCCAGAGATAATTACTTACCTGGTGTGTTTGTCAAGTGGTAGGCCCCTTGAAGGCACTGAAGAACTCCTTAGCTATAAGTTTCTGCTTGCCCACAGCCATGATAGTGACACTCAGCACTTTTGGACACTCCTGGCCTTGGAACGGCTCCAATCTGTGCTTGCTGCCCAACTGGTTTGTAAGGTTCTCCACACTGGAGTTACTGGTGGGAGTGTTAAAACTTTTTCTGCACGAGAGAGAGACAGGCAGAGACAGAGATGGGGGCGGGGGGGTGGGTAGAGGGGGTAATATATGTGGGTACCAAGTGTGTGTATTCATGTGTGTGGAGGCCAGAAGTTAGGTGTCTTCCTCAATTCCTCTCCATTTTAAATTTTGAGACAAGGTCTCTTACTGGAACCTGGAACAAGCAGGCCAGGCTTATGGGCATTGAGCCTTCAGATCCTGTCTCAGCTTCATGAATGCTAGATTACAGTACATGCTGTGTCCTGCTTTCTCATGTGGCTTCTAGAGAATCTAAGCTCCTCATGCTTGTGCCAGAAGCACTTACCAACTGAGTCACCTCCCAAGCCCAGAAACTTTCTACTGTGGAAATCTTCAACCATGCTTTTACTCTGCCTTAGCATAAACTGTAGTCAGTGTCTGGCCCTTCAGCTACTGGATGCCAATTTTGTTTTTTTTTTTTCTGCAGGGGAGCAAGCTTGCCACACTCAGGGCAGGGAGCAGGAGCGCCACCTGCAGGCTGCTCTATCCTTTGCAGTGTTGATGTAGCGGGATGGTGATTCTTAGAAGATAAATAATAGTTATTAAACAAAAGTGAAAAACGTGGAAATTCTGAAAATCCCATTTTCTTTCTTTTAAAAATTGTGTTTGTGCATGTTGCATGTGTATATGCACACACGAATGTGCCACACACAGCATGTGTGTGGAGGTCAGAGGACAACTGTGGAGTCTCTCCTTCTACCTCTATGCTGGTTCTGAGGATCTAACTTTAGTCACCAGGCTGTGTGGCAAGTGCCTTTACCCACTGAACCATCCTGCAGGTCCTAATTGAGTATTCTTTTAAGGAACATTTTAATTGCATGTGACGTTTTAGGGAAAAGCAATTTATTTGTTTTTATCTAAACTACAGGATTATTATTATGTTATTTTTAGCCAGCTCTTTCTTTTTCTTAGTACTATTATTACCGGTACGGGTTAGATTTCCGGTGCCTAAGATATCCTGGGATCATTTCTGCAGATTCCCAGCCTGGAGGAGGAACAACTGGTAAGTGCCATCTCCAATCTCCCTCACCCTTAAATTCTCTTTGTTTCAGGGAGACCCTGCTTAGTCCATAAACTGCCTGCCTTAGTTTCCCCTGTATTTCAAGAGAAATTGGAAAGCAGGGAGTGTTTTTATCTCACTGGCACCCAAAATGCAGTAACTAAAAAAATTCTTCAGTTACCTGTGCATAACAGTAAATCTTGATATAGCCCATACTATTCATATCTATTTTGGGAGCCTTCCATTCATAATAGTCTAAAAGAGGTTCTGAATTAAGAGCACTGGAGAGCTGGCATCTCAGTCCTGAGCCTCCTCCCTCCTGCTGCCACGGGAGGGATTCTCTTTCAGACTACGCCGTCCAGATTTTCCACGCTGCAGCAAAGAACGGCACATTTGAGTGCAACCTCAAGGCCAGCACCAGGCTCCCCATGATGTACATCAGCGACTGCCTCAGGGCCACCCTGGAAGTCATGGAGGCCCCCACGGAGCGCCTCTCCATGAGGACCTACAACATCAGCGCCATGAGCTTCACCCCCGAGGAGCTGGCCCAGGCCCTCCGCAAGCATGTGCCCGACTTCCAGATCACCTACTGCGTGGATCCCCTCCGACAGGCCATAGGTAAGCCCCTGCACCAACCCGCTCTAGCTCGAGGCTTTAAGGCTGAGGAGCTGCGGTGGCCGGTTCACAGATGCTTCCGTGTGGGAAACAGGTCTTCGGGAGAAAGGTTCCAGCTCAGGAAACCGTCCGGCACCATTTCACCTTTGCACAATTTAATAAAGTAGGGAGAAACAAATCAAGGCCGTGTGCAAACAGGCTTGTGCCTTCGTATGGTGTTGTTGCCATCTATGGCCTGGAACCCCCTTTTGGATATCAGAATGTTCCCTTACAAAGCCACGTGTGGTTTTAATGACATGAAAACTCCAGTGCAGGTGCCCAGTGTTTTCTGAAGAGGTGGCCCTGCATGTACTAGTTCTGCTCCAGTCAAAGACCAAGTTTCCTTTTATGTGCCTTCATATAAAATCCATCCAGTCATTCACAAACACAGAGCCAGGATAACCCCGTGTACTTTCCCGTGTCTTTCCCCAGCTGAGAGCTGGCCCATGAACCTCGATGACAGCAATGCCCGTAAGGACTGGGGCTGGAAGCACGACTTCGATCTTCCAGAGTTGGTGGCTACCATGTTCAACTTTCACGGCGCCAGCACCAGAATTGCCCAAGCTAACTGAAGGAGGAGGAGCAATGCCCATATCCTCACAGTGTAAGGGACATGGCATTCTCTAAGATGGAGAACTAATCGGACTGAATTCTGGCAGCTTGAGTGGAACTGCTGGGTGGGGTTGGAGTTCCTTTTACACATTGCCTTTTGTTGTGTGCCTAAACTGGTCCAGGCACACATGCCACGGAAGTGAAGTCCTAAGTGGTAGTGGCTAGCTCTTGGGATTTGCAACATTTGTATTTAATTAAATTCAATTTAAGTATCACTTCCAAGACTTCCTCTTTTGACCAGAGACCAAAGATCACATTTTAAGGATTTTCAAAGATGTTCTTCATGTTCAAGACTTTCAAACTTCACCAAAAATGAACATTAGCAGCTAAATTTTTTTTTTTTTTTTTTTTTTATGGTTTTTTGAGACAGGGTTTCTCTGTGTAGCTTTGCGCCTTTCCTGGAACTCGCTTTGGAGACCAGGCTGGCCTCGAACTCACAGAGATCCGCCTGGCTCTGCCTCCCAAGTGCTGGGATTAAAGGCGTGCGCCACCACCGCCCGGCTGCAGCTAAATTTTTAACTTAAGATTTATCTGGGTGATTAAGAGTTTGAAAGATGATGCACTTCATAAAGGGCATGGGTTCTGTGGGGTTTGATTCCATTTAGGGGCTGCTAGAAAGCTTTGTGATGTCTATGGGACTTTAATTCTCTGACCTGGTAACATCAGCAACTCCAGAGAGATTGTTTGAAATGCACATCTAGGCTTCACCCCCTCAAACTGACCCAGCAAAGTGGAGTAAGCTGGCTATGTCCCAGCCCTCTAAGATAGATTCCAAGCCCAGTTCTAAAGAGTGCTGTCCTGTGATAGTAGTGAACCCACCCATAGAGAGGTCACTCAAACCCTGCTGGCTGGCACACCTGGCTGGCTACCTCCAGAAATCACCAGCAAGGGGAACTTCCAGTTCCACAGCTATAGTCAATAATAGCTGTGCTTCTGCTATAGGTTAGTGATGGTACATTGTTACTCATTTAGATTTTAAACTCCTAGGTTGTGGCATAATTTTTTTTGAGTCTTAAGTGGATTTGAATCTTTTTAACTAAAGAAATTTTAGATAATTGAGTTTTAATAGCTACAATAGTATATGTTATCTCTCACATGCTTAGTATAATTAAGCTTAACATTTGTGGATTTTTGTTTCCAAAAATTCTCTTTATAGATTTATTTTATGGTTCATATAGATTTACTTTATGGTTCATATTATCTATCATAAAATGTATAATTTGGGATCTGGAGAAAAGGTTCAGCAGTTAAGAGCACTTGCTGCTCTTGCAAAGGACCTGAGTTCAGTTCCCAGCATCCATATGGTGGCTCACAACCTTCTGAAGCTCTAGTCCCAGGGGATCTGACACCCTTTTCTGACCTGTAAGCACCAGCAATACATGCTTACATGTAAATGGTACACACATGTTTCACATAGGCAAAGCACTCGTACACATGACAATAAAGAAAACCTAAAATGTATCTTGTTTTTCAGTATGTTAGAGTTGCAGACTTGATAACAATAGAGAGAGCACGTGTAATTCCCCTCAGTCTGAAGCAACCACTATCTCTCTGTATCTCTGGATGGGGGATTCTGAACATCTCATACAACTGGGGTGTAGTCATTAGCGAAGGGCCTCAGTTTTGTTAACCTGTTAGACATTGAGGTTTTATGGCTGTTACTCAAATTTCAAGTTCACATCTGATATTAAAGGTACTTTTTTGAGTTGCCTAACAGGTTAAGAGCATAGGCTCTTGGTTGTGTAGGGAAGTGTAAGTCTGAAGTTCACGTGTGATTTTAAAAATCTGTGTGCATGGTGAAACTCAAGTAGCATGAGTGGATAAATACAGTGAAAAGTATGTCTCTCACCCTCCGCCCAGGTAACCGTGTGTGTGTGTGTGTGTGTGTGTGTGTGTGTGTGTGTGTGTGTGTATGTGTGTGTGTGTGTGAAAGAGAGAGAGAGAGAAAGAGATGCTGGGGTTTTAACTCAGGGCTTACACACACCAGGCAAGTGTTCTGTAACTAAGCCTTATCTCCAGGCCCATCTGCTTCTTTAATGGCTCTATAGCTCGTCATTGGCTGGTTGTCCAGAATTTAATAGGTTGCATTATTAAGGACATTTGGACTTATGACAGTACTGTCATAAGCGGTGCTGTAGGAAAGATTGTTGCAAATACATCCCATTTTCATTGTCTTAAAGGGCCGAAATCTCTTTCTGGAACTTTGAAGTTCATAGCTTTTACATCCAACTAACTCTTAAGCCCTTTCCAGGGCAGTGTCTTTGGTTTTTTTCCTACCATAATAAGTGAATTTGAACCTTACCTAAAACAAAGTGCTGATACCAAGAGCTTTTTGTGAGTTTTTTTTTTTACCTGCTTTCATGAAAGATCTGCATGGTATAAGCATGCTGTATACATTTCATGTTTTTCTTTTTCTTTTCTTTTTTTAAAAAATTTATTTGTTTTTGTTTGTTTGAGTTTTTGTTTTGTTTTGTTTTTTTCAAGACAGGGTGTCCCTGTGTATCCTTGGCTGTCCTGGAACACTCTCTGTAGACCAGGTTGGCCTCAAACTCAGAGATCCCCCTGCCTCTGCCTCCTGAGTGCTAGGATTAAAAGTGTGTACCACCACTGCCCGACCTTTTTTGTTTTGAGATTTTTGTTTGTTTGTTTGCTTGTTTGTTTGAGACAGGGTTTCTCTGTATAGCCCTAGCTCTCCTGGAACTCTGTCTGTAGACCAGGCTGGCCTCGAACTCAGTGATCTGCTTGCCTATGCTTCCTGGATGCTGGGATTAAAGACATGCTCTGCCTTAAGTCATGTTCACAGTTCAGAAGTTGATTTAGGAGTGAGCCAACTATCATTTCTTGTGCCCTTATTTCATTACTACTAGGGTATAAATTCATGGTTTACATTTTAGTACACATTGAGAGAGCAAAGTCACCCTGCTGACGTTTCCCATTTTGAAGCTCGTTGTGAACAGAATAGCAAAATGTCATCAGGATAATGATAATAAGAACAGCAGAGAAATACTTCACTCACCTCTACCCCCCAAAAAAAGTGCTGTATTGATAACATGAGTAATAGACGTAACCAGGAACGGGAATGAAAGATCATAGAGGGAGAAAGACTGCTCCCAACACTGTTTTGAAAGTGCAGTTACCATTCATAAATGCACGCTCCTCCGACCAGGAGCCGCTTCCATTGGCTCCTATCTACAGGCATCTCGGCCATCTGGACCACAGCTGTGGACAGCTCTTGGCCCTCCTGGCCCTCCTCCAGGGCAGGGCTTCTCAAACATTGTCTACCACCCACAACTCCTCATTTTGCATGAGCCAGGGTATATAGGTATTTGAGATAGTCATATCTATCAAATGTTTGCTGATAGTACACCATGAAGAAATCTATCTTTAAAAAGACTTTTGTGTACACATAATTTTTACCATAGATAGATTGAAGATGAAAGCAAATTTGTGGAGTAATGAGATGATGTGCTTGTTGATTTTTATATAACACACTAAATCTTGGCTGGATATTTGATACTTTGGATTTTTACAATCATCCATACTGAGAATTCCTCCCCACATAAATAAGTAGTATAAAATGGCAGAAATGTGATTAGGGACTGTGGTGGTTTGAACGAGAATGGCCCCCATAGGCTCCAATGTTTGAATGCTTGGTCCCCAGTTGGTGGGACCATTTGGGAAGAGTAGGAGGTGTGGCCCTGTTGGAGGAGGTGTGTGACCTGGTGAGCTTCAGGTTTCAAAAGACTGGTGCCATTCCCAGCGTGCTCTCCGCTTCCTGTTTGCTATTTGAGATGTGAGCTCTCAGTTGCTGCTCCAGCCAGCTTGCTCGCTGCTTGCTACCACCCTGCCCCACTATGATGGACCCTTATCCCTCTGAAACTGTGAGCTCAAAATAAACCGTTCCCTCCTAAGATGCCTTGGTCATGGTGCTTTATCACAGCAATAGAAATGTGGCTAACACAGGGCCATTTCAGAAATTGTTGGAAATTCTATCTTAATCCCAAGCCACAATTCAGCAAGTCATCTTTTTTTTCTTTTAATGAAATTCAAACAGCAAGTTAAAACAAAGCAAACGTCCTAACACAATCCAACCCAAAGACATTCTAATCTGCTACTTAACACGCCTAGGCATGATAATAAGAAGGCAGTAAGAGGTTTTGTTTCCTGTAATTAAACCATTATGTGTCTGTAGCAGCAGAAAATCACTGTATGGGCTGAAACTTACTGCAGCTCCTGAGCCTGGGTGGCCTCAGTCCGAGGCATGTTTCAAACCTGCAGTATTTGCGGGCGCTGCATGGAGTGATGGCCACATGATGCAAAGTGCGTGTGCCCATCCAGAACCACCGCCATGGTGAAGCTTTATGACACAATGTGGGTGAACTCTGCCAGAAACACTGTGAATTCATTCTGTGTCTGATTTTGAATTAATTTTTGGTTGTTTCCTATTCAGAAACCTTTCACCATTAACAAAAATTTCGAAACTTCCTCATTCAGGTTTTGACTCTCAATGTAAAAAGTTGAGGTTGGGGGTCCATATCAGGTCTTTGGCACATCACAGTGTAAGGAACCCACCGTAGATGACTTTGTAAGTGCTGGGTGACCTAACACCCTGTTCTTTCTTTGCTTCCACTCACATCTTTGAACATGTTTATTGGGGTCACTAGAAACCTACATTTTCTCCCAACTGTGGAAATCTGGTTTTAGAGGTTGGATTTGTGCATATGGGAAAGAAAGGAAGTCTACTCACTAGTTTACCTTGAGTTATGTAATCTTTTGTTTAAAAAAATATTTCTTTTTAATTATGTTTTTATTTTGTGTACGCACCTGTGTGTGAGCATGTGTTCATGAATGCAGTGCCCTCAGAGTGTTGAATTCTCTGGAGTTGGAGTTAGATGGCTGTGTGCCAACATGTCTGTTCCATGCTATGAATGAAACCCAGGTTCTCTGCAGGAGTAGCAAGAGCTTGTAACTGCCGAGCCATTTCTCCATTGTACAGTCTTACCCAAGTCACTTCCTGTCCCGATGCCCCACTGCAGGCGATGCTTTGAGTCTGAGTCCTCCTCAGCCCCTGAAGCTGCGATTTAATCATGGAGTTCAGAACATACCCACACTTCATTTTCCTAGACAAAAATCGGAAAGCTGGCTACATTTGAAAAATATCTGTGAAACGTGTAAATTATAACACATAAAAACAAATGAAATGGCCCAAAACTTC